ATATACCATGATAATAAAGTACTTGAAAATTAAGTTTTGAACATAACTCACTATAACCTTGTGACATACACAGAAAAATATGACCGTAGTAAAGGTGTTATTTATCAGAACAATGCCCACAGATTTCAAAACTATGTATTTTCCAGTTTTAAAACTAAATTTCACATCTTTAATCCCTCTTTTTGACTGCAGGCTTGAGTTCTTTCTAGAAGACCTTCAGTTTTGTTATACTAAGTTTAACTATTGCAAATATTAATTTCATCTAAAAGTAATTTTTAAAAAAGCATAATTTTAATGTTACATTAGTTCTCATGTTTTATAATTCCATACAAATTCTAATGATGACAGATGAAAGTCCATTGTGTTCCTACATCTACAACCCTTTGCTTCTTAATGAAGTGCATGACTGATAGAATATTGCTTGTATAGTTCTGACTTTAATGTTTGCCAACTTGTAGCAAATAACATGATAATGTATAAAACTGACAGTTAATGCTGTTGAATTCTGTGTACTCAAAAGAACAAATTTAAAAATCTTCAGTTAGGAAAGTGTGCGAAGTGGAAAAGGTTCATGAAGCTCAATATATTATAACAGGATTAGATAAATGACTGAAAATATGAAGATAATATCTAGTAACACTATACAATATATATATATAAATATAAACACACACACACATACAACATGGCATATCATTCAGAAAAGTTAAACATAAAATGTTCTTGGTTTTAAAACACAGGCTGTAAGTTCATGTGATTGAATTCTGCAGATTTGATGGGCTACAGAGGTGCATCACAGTTTCTGGTATTCAAGTTAGAGTAAAAAACAATTATTCTGACAAGGGGCTCTACCTGTTAATCTCTTCAAATCTCTATTTAGCATTTTAAAAAAAGGGGGAGTAATGGAAACTGTTTGAAAATCAATCCACCAAAAGAGTTTCCCTGACTTACAGATTGTGTGTTGATACGTAACACACAAATGAGACAGCACACAAAACAAAACTAATCAAGCACATAAATAAAGTCTACATTGAATTACTTTAATATTGGAAAAAAAAGACATATACAGTAACACACGAAACACACAAGGACATATGTTATTTGTTTTGGAATTTCACACAAAGCTACATGATGGCTATATGTACTAGCCATCCCTAATTTAGCAGTGATAGATTAAAGGGAAGGCAGCTGTCAACACCACCCACTGCAAACTCTTGGGCTACTCCTTTACCAATGAATAGAAGGATTGACCATCACATTATGATGCCCCCACAGCTGAAATGGTGAGCATGTTTGGTGTGATGTGGATTCTGGAACCACGAGCCACAGATTACAAATCAAGCACCCTAACCATCAGGCCATGTCAGGCCCATATGTTATTAACCACAGCAGCCCCACTTCAAAATACAACACATGCAAGTAAACACACTGACATGTATAATTATTAAATTTGCAAAATTCCTGTAAAGCAAATATATAAAAGTCCACTAAAGTATAACGAAAAACAGTTGAAAATAAACAAAATAAATATTTTATCCTGCAAAAAGTCCAAACATTCTTTATCACACTTTCATACCTAGTCCTGAGCCTAAAAGTGTATACAACATGTCAATTTACAATCATTATAACACACTTGAATGTATTTTAATCACAAGATGATCATTTCAAACAATTTCATTCACAATACTTTTAATAAGCCTATGCATTAAACAGTACAATCAGGCCTATACATTTGGATATTACGGTATACTGTTACAATTATTACTCTAATATCAAACTAAAATCAGAATAGATCCTCTAACTGACCATTACAAAAACAGTAAACGAATTTTAAAAAATATCTATACTTGTGCAAAAATAGCTAAACTGAGATAACTTTATTCCAACATAACACAACACGAATTAGCCTACAAAAGTGAGAAGAAGACCTTACTCTGATTGGCTGGAACTGGGCAGACAGCAGGCACAGTATGCTGACAAGTAACATGACACACAAATCCACACACTAAAGTAAAGAACAATAATTATTATTATTCTAAGTCCTAATAAGCCATTACAGATGAAGAAATACATTTACATAACTTTGAAGCAAAAATACATAAATAGCATGATACACTAAAGAATCTACAATTTAACAGACTATCTATAAAAAGCAAGATCTAAATTTAAAAATGTCACGAAGAAAAATTTCTACAGCCAACAATCCACTCTGACATAACAAGTTTTAGAAATTTTCAGTTAAACAGTAGTTGCAGCTGATATAGACAGCCAATAATACTACTGTGACAAGTGATTTAATGAGTTGTATGGACTACGTATGTTGAACTTAGAGATGGTGAGAAGCCAAGTTCATAGGCCTCAGTTCCATCATTGATGAGGGAAAATGCTAAACAAGACTGCAGAATGATATGTAAATCAAATATGCTAATAAGCAGTTTTAGTCTAACTATATACTTCATGTAAAAGCTAAATAACATACAGCAAGATTCTACTTATTGTTGCCCCCATCAGTTTTAGTTAAAATTTCCTCATTGTACCTTCATATAATTCATCACATGCTTCTAACTAACTTGAATAATTAAGTTGTTATATTTTGCCTATCTCTGATCACCATATTAATACCCGAATGCATCCAGTGTGAAAAATGTGTCGAATCAGAACAAATACTCCCAATAAACTATGGGAAAACAAGCATAAATTTTCATCTTCCCATATACTGTTGGTAAGACTGTGAAAGTGTCTTTTTTTGTCTAACAAAGACTTAATAGAAACTGTCTACTTATCTCTAAAACTAAACCTGTATCTTCTTTTTATAAACTGAATAAATTTGTCAGCACCCATTTTTTTAAACAGCAATACAGGTAATTGTGATTATGCGAAATGTGATTTTTTTCATTAGTCACATTTAAGTCCTCACGGCAAGATAGAGGGCACTGAATTATTCAAGTTAAGAGTTTGTTTTGGTACTAACCAGGCACAGATACCACTATTACATTCAGTTGGTATTTATACAAAGCAGGCATACATGCTGCTAGCATAATCAGCTAATTTTTATACAAAGCAGGACTGATGCCTGTATTGAAAAATTAATGTTTACAATAATTATCAATTTACTATGTGTATCTTAATGAAACCTGGCAAGCTTTTAATAAACGTAAAACGTTTGTTATACATCGAAAATGAGAAATTTTAATAAAGTATTTTCAGTAAAGATTTGACAGTAAATTTCTGCAGCCTTTAATGAATCAGTTTGAGTGCAAGATAATTCTTATGCTAAGAATAACAATACTTTTTTCCATCTTACATTTTCATATTTCAGATGCATAACCTCTAGAAGAGCTTTAAGCTTATTTTCACAACCGCTTTTATTTAATTTTATTGTTTTGTTTCCCTTTGAACCATGTATAACTACTTTTACAAGCAATAAGTCACTCTTAGGAGTTGGAGTGTTTATGATGAAAAAAGTGTCAGGTTACATCATGTGATGTCTAATTACACATGTTCTTCATGCATTCCTCAAGGAGTGATCACAAAATCAAAATTTAATTAATTTTTTCATTTCAGTATCCTTGTATGACCTATTAAGTTATAATTTTGACCTTTCAATTACTTTTGTTAAGAAACATACATCGAAAGAAAAGCTCAACTTACTTTAGCTCTAGGCAAGTATGAGTTTGAGTGCATGTTTTTATAACCCTATTTTTTCCTACTATGGTAGTTGTTCAAAACATAATTCAAGCAGCTTCAAGAATGAATCTTAGAAATCCAAAGACACATCACTCACTAGAAAAGATTGTACGAAAACTACTGCAATTTATTTGGTTTTTTAACTAACATATAAGTAGGTTAAACAAACTGATTTACCTCTCAGATCAGCATCTTTGGTACAAACCCCTCAAGGGTTGACAGAAATTTACTTAATGGATCAACCAAAGCATACAACCAAGCAATATATGTAGTGTTCAATTTGCTCTTTCTATTGGTTATAAACATGACCAATAGCAAGAGTTATAGATATGTTTTGAAAGACAGGAGGGGCATGTCATGTGGGTTTTACTTTCTTGTATACATCTCAGTAAAGCAAGAGTATTGAAGACTAAATTTACACTTAGGCTTAGCAATATCTATACTGTGAGTGAGTAATTTGTGACATAATCAAAAGAGCATGTACGGGTAGAAAGAAAATCTAAAACGGCCAATTTGGAGCATAAAGTATCACATGATACACAGAAGTCAAAACTGAGAACTTCCTTAAATATTTATTTTTGAAATTAAGAAATTAAACCTAATATATTATTAAAACTTGAATTATAAACTACATTTTAATGCCAAGTTTATTAACATAAATTGATAATAAAGTTGCTTAATTAAAAAAAGTTGTGACATGCACTTTGACCAGCCTATAAATTTCTGTTATCTCAGGACAATAATAAAACCCAAAGCTTGTGAAGTATGTTTAGATAAATTTATTTTATCCAAAAATAAAAGTAATACAACTCCAGTACATGGCTAATACAAAAAATATATATATATATATATATATATATATATAAATATATATACAAATGTTACCTTCACAAACCACTCCTTGATGATACAAGCCTACCAATAAGGATGTACACTGATAACACTTGAGAGGAGTTCCTAAGTTTCTAAACATAAACTGGTGAGCTTTAGGCTGTAATGAAGAGAAACAACTATGTTAAAAAGTTAAATTCCCATTAAAATAGATTATAACATAAGACTTCTTTCAAGTGTGGCTGAAATGTGAAATAACAGTAAAGCTAATTTGACCATTAAAATTTAACAACCAATCTAATACTGATCATACCAAATTATATTAAATTAAGATAGTCCTATACATAAATAATTCAAACTGAACAAGAAAGCAAAACTTTAAATGCTGGATAGTAGACAAAAGAGTGAAATTCTTATTTTTTTTTTTATCATATATCAGTTACAAATGAAGTTTATTTCTTTAGAAACACATGAATTAAAATTTGGTTTAAAACTTTATCCAAAACTATTTTAAGGACAAAAAAATACAGCAAAGTGGAAGTCTTAATAATATTATGACATGGCTTTCATAATTCTTACATTCTTCTCATAAGCATATGGGATTAAACCTTTTAACCCTTTCGCACTGGGCTCGTGCAATTTGTGTAAATCAAGTAGTGAAGTTCACATGTACAACAATACATGCAGTAGTTACTCTGAGGTTTCCTAATGTATCCTCTCCAAAACTGGTAAGATTTGTTAAAGATCATAAGTATCTTGTCACAAAGAATGACAGATATATAATTAATTGTTTTTGCTAAAAATATGTCATTTTTATATTGTAGTTACGTGCATTCAAACTATTAAGAAATCAAGTGAAAGGTGATTTTCATTTTAAGTATAAAAATACTTTTCTTTGTCTTATAGTTTTCATAGTTCATTTGCCTAATCTCTGGAACCTCCTAAAAGGATATCCAACTTTTTTTAAGGTAAATGTTTATATTATATTTTTCCTTTTTTTCTACCATATCAGTAAATCTAGATATTATCATCAATATGCAATGCAACGAAATAATTAACATTAGGAAATAGAAAAAAAAATACATACCTGTTAATTTTTTGTAGAATATCTTTAAAGATTTTCCTTTTGTTAAATTTGTAATTTCAGGTCTTTTCCTTTTCACATATGGTTAATTTTTAATGTTTTATTTTCCTTTCTTGTCCTTTACCACTTATTATTCATCTTAAAACAAGTCAACAGTGCCTTCAAGGCATATTACATTTTCTTTGGGAGACATGTGCTACCCTCAAGCAAAATTTGTTTGGTGAGTAATATCGTAAGCCTTGAGAACAGATGCAAAGTATGATGTATATTTAAAAAATGTTTAAACCTTTTAATTACACATTTTAAAACATAACTAATACATAATTAACTAAAATGTAAGAATAATACCTAAATACAATTTAAACTGTATCTCTAACTATAACATATTTAGGTTAAAAAGAACCATAAATGCTATAGTTGATCAAGCAGCCAACAATACTACAGTCAATTAGATGTAATCTATGGCAACAACTGTGCACAAATTTCAAAATAACAATTGTGAGATTATAGTATAAAATGAGCTCTTTCTAATGAGTACACACATGTGTATGTAACATCTACATGTAGGTTATAAAGCTCAAACAAATCTGTTGAAGGTTGGCATGGCAGCTGTCAGGAGTTGAACAAATTTATTACTTGTTTTAACTATTATTTCAGAGAACTTTGAAATAAATGAGTCAAAAGGTTATGTAGGAATCTTATAGTCTAGACATACCTCTACTCAACTACCATTGTATTATTGCCGATACAGAGAGGTAAAGAATTTTCATAGCTCATTGGTCACGTGACAATACATCTGAAGTTTTAAGCAGTTTTTTAAAGGTTTGTTTGATATAAAGCACTTAAAACTTGGATAAAACAAAATTTTGAATCATAACATATATTATAATACGAATTTCATTCACATATATATGGATAGTAAAAGTGTTTCATTAAATTTTGAATGTAACACAGTGACTTGCACAGAAAAGTGTTTAAAGGGGCTCTCATTGTGAAAGGGTTAACACAGAATTGTTTCCTTTATATAAAAACACTTAACTTCTTTGAAAATGTTCACACAATTCTGAAAAAATGCTTAAACTTCTTCATTAAAATCTAAACTTGAGTATTTTACAATAGCCAATTGATTAACAATAATATTTTGCTTTTAAGAAAGTTTGATTGACTTTCATTAGTTTAATACAACAAGAAAAGTTGCAGATTGTTTGGAGAAAGATAAAACTAGATTAATCTCTGCTAAAATGTTGCTACTTCCGTATCTGCAACTGACTCCACACCTTATATATAAAGCCATACCTGAGGAGTTAAAGAACTAATGGTTGGTCTGGAATCAACTACAGGAGACAGACTAACAGACAGCTGATCCTATAAAACAGATGACAATAATAAAAAAAATTAAAGACAATTAAATGAACATTTAGTTAATAAACTGTAAACACCTTCATCAATTTTCATTCAGTTGTCTCATTTGTTTCAGCAAAGGCATAATATAACTTTTTAAATGTAATATTTTACATGGAAAATTTTCTGAACATAAGACAGACACTGTACATAAAGGGAAATTCTTAATTTTTTTAATATCATTTATATGGAAGAAGGTTTGACCAGTAACAGACTGACAGTCCAAACTAAATTTACAAGTAAAGCAAAGAACAATGGTAGGCAATTGCTGATTGTTGAATTTAAGAATTGCAACAGCACCTTAGCTTTCTTGCTACAGGTAGGTCATAATGTACACCTCATGACTTTTTAGAGAGTTACATTCAAAACTTAAACTACTTTACTATCATTGTATACAAATAAACTTGGCATCCAAACACAGTTAATAAATCAAATTTTAATATAAGTTTTAAGTTTTATAAGGAAATCTTTAAAAAATCCTCCATCTTCCTTAGTATCAGAATCACAACATTTGTTCTGAAGTAAAGAATTTAACATAACTTACTCAATATAATATAAATATTACTAAGGCAAAGTCTAATTTTTAAAGCCTTCAATCTTATTTCTTTATGGAGTTATAAACTAGAAAATCAGACCTACTTGCCATGCCCACCTGTTACATCCTCTCTTTCATAAGTTGCCAATAGTTTTCTCTCGTTTTATACTTTATTACTTGTAACCAATACAAAGACAAAGTTTTAACCTACCAAATGATGTATTATATTACATTGTTTTCAATACAGCGTACTGTCTATTTTGTCTTCTGTTTGAAATTTTCTCTCACAGTACTCAGATTGAGAAGCTCAAATAATTATTTTAAGGCAGTTAAATTATGATAGTTATACGGCATTGTTTGCTTTGTGTGTGTCACTTTTCTGTGTTCTTAGTTGCATTATTTAAGTAAATAAAAATTATTTAGTGTACTATTACCATCAGCACAAAAAGATAGGCTTCATTTTCATCAGCAACCAACACCAAAAAACAAGAGGGCAAAGGTAAGTACTGTATTTATGGTTTTTCATGTATATTCTTTATTTATAGTTATAAAAGTAACTAAAATATAAAAATTAGAAACTTATTGGGTTAGATAATGAAAAATAATAATGATAATAATAAAAATTCATCATGAGGTATGATTTCAAGCAGCTCCTCCATTACTTCATTCAATAAGGTAATGTGACCAACTCGTTCCTCGAGTGATTTACAATTTGTGTAGCAGGATTATTCATTTGATATGGCTCAAAGAGCAATAAAACAATAAAATTAAGTATAAACAGGTGTATACTGTTATGAGCCTTAAGTTATTTATGATAAACAATTGTGGGTTCTTGTTAAAATCAGTAGTCATTTTAGAAAGAAAAAAAGAATAATTTAGATATGTCTCTCTTTTTGTTATGGTTGTTACAAGAACACTCAAATATACAGAGTCTGTATAGAGTTAGGGCAGATAAAATATAAAGTTTTACCGAAAAAACTTCTGATATTTAATTTAAAAACTTCTGGTATTTAATTAAAAACTTTTAGAGGTTATGCAAATCAAATTTGAAAATTTACAGATGAAGAAAAGTATTTTTAACCTTAACATGAAAATCACTTTGCACTCAGAACAGTAAACACTCTGACTCCATGTATTCATGGACAAATCTTAAGTAAAAATACTTAATTAAAAAAAATTTGATTTTCTGCATACACAAGACTTGTAATGTTTACTGAAATGTGCAAATTTCATGAAGATACATGTACCATATTAGAATTGATAGTATGGAAACTGTAATAATTATTTTGTGGTTTCAAGGCCAGTCAGATTGGGTTTCACCAAGCCCGTGTGAAAAGTGTTAACATTTTATGATGTGCAGCAAAAGAATAATCGACCTACTTAATCAGGATAAAAAAAAATTGATTGATCTGTTTTGTTTTTCTCTCAGTCCAGAAATGCTTTTGATATTTGTCTCTTAAGCTTGTAAATGTGTATGTAAATCTAATGTTACATAGAAAAACTTCAGCAGAATTACTAGCTACACATAAATAACTTGTCATGCTCATTGTCTCACAGGCAGTTAATGCAACTTTTAAATTCTCATTACAGTTTTGTCTATAAAATGCCTGAAAAATGTTTTACACTTTAATAAGATGAAAAGACTGTACAAATTTAGGACTTCTTAAAATGTAATCACATTGTAGTGTCAGTGGGATTTATACAACTGTATAATATATACCAAATGTTCATTTGATAATAGTTGTCCATTTCTAATACTACAAAAAACAAAAACAAATAATCAAAGCTTCCTGTACATACCACAATTCTATATTATTCAAAATATTTTACCATGCTTGTTTCAGATGCGGTAGACTTGCTTCCAGAGAATGAAGTTGGCATGTGGAATTCATTATCAGTTTCTTCTCCTACTTCAGCATACTCGCCACTGTCAGAACAGCCAAACCGTAAGGAGGTATCCTTCAGAAATTGATCCAGGAAGGACATTTGGGATGATGGACGATCCAAGACTAAAGGAAAAAATAACACTGAATATTTAAATAACCAAAATTTAAAAACAATTCTTTGTCACAAATATCCTTGAATTTTTGTATAAAAAATGTTTTTTATCCAAATACGTCAGCATTAATATAACAACCCAGGCTATATATACATAAATGTACAAACACACACACACAGTTAAATGAAGAAACTTCCTGATAGAAACTAAAATAAAGAAGACAAGCAGGAAAGATATATTATTTCTATAAAAAAGTGGATATTTAATGTTACTAATAAGTCTAGATTGAGGTTGTACTATTTTCTAAATACTTTCCAAAGCAATATATGAAGCTCATTTTAAAGAAAATTATAAAGTAAAGCACATGTCTTTCACTCTTGGTCATTTTGAAATAAAATTTCCTAATAAATTGCAGATACTTATATAATACAAAATTTTTTAAAATATCAGTTTTTTTCTTTTTTACAATTCACCATCAAATCAATTTTACATGAAATAAACTTTCAAAATAATCAATAAAAGGTCTTTTTTTATTTAAATTAATGTGCTTTTGATATCTTACTGGTTTTGGTAACATGGAAGTTATATTTCATGATGAAGTGACAAAATCATATGAAAGGAGGTGAGGGCACTCTGTGCGACTTTCCAGATTCATGTTGAGGCAAGAAAGTAGTTTATATAAATCACAAAAATTAAAAACAATTGAACAAATTTCAGGTGTAGTTGGAAATTCTTCTCTATTGGTAACCCACACTGGGTCAGTAAAGACATGACTGAAATTATTATAAACTTTATTGTGATGCAATAAACATACATTGTTTTAAAACTCAAGTTATTTTTATAAAGTGTATATGTGTGTGTGCACATTTCATGTTCTCTTTAATGACTAGCATACATGAAGTAAACATAATTTGTAATGTACATTATCGTAACTATTTTTTTATACACAACTTGCATCTCAAGAACATGTGATTTGTTTTTGTTGTAAGATATTCCTTTCTTTTTATATATATATATATATATATATATATATATA